GAGCATCTTCCCTTCCCACTGAGCATCATCCCTTCCCACTGAGCATCATCCCTTCCCACTGAGATCTTCCCTTCCCACTGAGCATCTTCCCTTCCCACTGAGCCTTCCACTGAGCATTTTCCCTTCCCACTGAGCATCTTCCCTTCCTGCTAAGTACCTTCCCTTCTGTTGAGCTGTGACATCTTTACCTCCTCTCAGAGCGTTCTCTCCCGCCACTGCCTTCCCACCAGGACCATCTCAGCCAGCACCCAGGTGCAGGGAGGAGACTTCAACCTGTACGAGAACATGCGCTGCCATGGTGTACCCCTGGTCACCATCAGCCGGGGGCGGGTCGTGTACGAGAACGGCGTCTTCATGTGCGCTGAGGGCACCGGCAAGTTCTGCCCCTTGAGGTCCTTCCCAGACACTGTCTACAAGAAGCTGGTCCAGAGAGAAAAGGTAAGGTGGGGGGGTGGGGGCGGAGAAGACATGTGGGAAGAGGTTGAAGGCCGCTGGCGGCGACATCTTATATGACTTTTAAATCTCAAAGATGTTCTCACTCTGTCTTTCCACCAAATCTTATTGCCTGAATAGTCACTTTGGGAACAATCAAAATAGTAGAAAAGGAGCACCTGTAACAAAGTAAAATTTATTGGGAAGGGTCCCCAACTCCCCGGGAGCCCGGGGATACTGTGAGGTGCTCATAGCTATCCCTGACATCCAGGCTTCTTGTCGTCCCTCAGGGGCAGGGAACTCCTGGCTTGGCCTGGGTTGTCATATTTGCCCTGGAGATGCTCTTTCCCCAAACTCCCCACAGCCGCCCTGTAACTGCAGTAGGCTGGGTGGGCTGTGCTGAGTCTGGGCCCCCCAGTGAAGTGGTCAAGCCAGGTCTAGCTCACTGCCATGCGGGGGTGGCCTGAGGTCTTATCGTGAGAGTTTCATCCAGTCCTCGGATTCCGTAAACACCCTGGGTGTTCACTGAAGCTTGGGGCTCCACCTTATCCCCAGGGATACCGAACTCTGGGTAGAGTTTCACCCAAAAGAAGACTGGCTGTTCCCTCGTTGCTTGGGGATTGATTGTCCAGCCTTATCTTTGAGAGCTGTCCTGACAACTCTGGGTGCTGGGAACCAACTGCAGCTCCGGCCTCTGGGTGGAGAACCCAAATCATCAGAACAAATCTGACAAAACTGACAGGTGAAAGCATCATGAGGTTTCCCCTTCCCTTCCTCCGGCATAAAGCAATATTATTATGGTCCAAAACGCTCCCGCCTAGCTACTTCCAGATTCTGTCTAGAAAGGGTGGGTGTTCTTAGAAATATCATGACCAAGGGCCTGGGAGCCCCAGCCCAAATGCAGGTCTTCTATCAGGGAGCAGACTTGGATTACCTAAAAAAAAAGCAGGACTTTAGTTATCCCAGTATTCAATTCAAAAGCGAACTCAGGATCTCTCAGGTAGGTGAATGGTCCCATCTCCAATATGCTTCCCAGATGTGAACAATGGCAGGAGACCTCAGCCCCACCTCTGGGGGACGTGCCACAAAGAACTGTAAGAGCGACACATTCACACGCTACACTACCTGACCAAGGGTGGCAATGATTTAAAATAAGAAAACGGAAAATAACAAGTGTCAGTGAGGCTATGGAGAAATTGGAGCCCTCGTTCATCGTCAGATGAATGTAAAAGGTGCGGCCACTTTGGAAACCAGTTTGGCAGTTCCCAAAATGTTAGCTATAGCGTCGCCAAAATAACCCAGCAATTCCACTCTTGGGTATATACAGAGTCAAGAAAAATGAAAATATGTGTCTTCACAAAACCTTGTACATGAATGTCATAGCAGCGTTATTCATAAAGGCCAAAACGTGGGAACAATGTACACGTCCATCAACTACTGAATAAACAAAATGTGGTCTATCCATACAATGGAATATTATTCAGCCATAAAAGGGAGTGGAGTGCTAATATATGCTACATACAACACGCGTGACCCTTAAAAACATCATGCTAAGTGAAAGAGTCCAGTCACAAAAGACCACATGTTAAATGATTCCATTCGTATGAAATGTTCAGAAGAAGCAAATCCATAGACAGAAAATAGATTAGTGGTGGCTTAGGGCTGGGCAGAGGGGAGAATGGGAGTGACTGCTCACGGGGAGGGAGATTCTTTTGGGGGTGATGAAAACATTTTGGAATTACACAGTGTTGGTGGTACAAACTTGTGAATTACACTAAACACCCCTGAAACGTATTCTTTTAAATGGCGAATTTTATGGTATGTGAATTATATCTCAATTTGAAAAAAAAAATCTTTAAACAGTTCTGTGGCTTTCCCCAAAAAAGATGTTTTAGTCAGGAAATAGGATCAAAAGAGGGCAGAGAAAGCGTTTGAAGCCCTTCTAAAAACCAACCTGGGACTTCCCTGGTAGCGCAGTGGTTAGGAATCCACCTGCCAATGCAGGGGACATGGGTTCGATCCCTGGTCCAGGAAGATCCCACATGCCGCGGAGCAGCTAAGCCCGTGTGCCGCAACTACTGAGCCTGTGCTCTAGAGCCCACGAACCACAACTACTGAGCCTGCGTGCGCCTAGAGCCCGTGCTCCGAAACAAGAGAAGCCACCGCAATGAGAAGCCCACGTGCCACAAGGAAGAGTAGCCCCCGCTCGTGGCAACTAGAAAAGCCCACGTGCAGCAACGAAGACCCAACGCAGCCAAAACTAATAAAAATAAATAAATAAATAAAAACCAACCTCACAAGAATGTCAGACAGATACCAATTCACATCAGACCGCTCTTAGGGCCAGACATAGTGGAAGAGCTCAGCTTCTAGGACTGATATAAATTCAACTCAGAGGCCCTTTATCCAAAGCACTTATGATGACAACATAAGGTCCTCAAGAAAAAGCCAATTCTATTCCCTATTCTCTGGTATAGCCCTTATGTAACAGAACGCAGGTACGCAAAAAACTTCATTTCCCCCAAATTATAAATAAGCAGTCCCTACAGAGCAGGGTCCTCAGGAAAGCAAGTAGCTCTGGGGTTGGGACCAGTGTATAAAGCCACAGCAAGGGGCTGCCGGGAGCCGGGTCCTGCCAAGGTCACTCACCCAGGATTCACCAGGTCTGTACTCCCACCCTTCACCCCCGGAATCCCACAGTGCAGCCTGGTAAAGGCTAAAACACTTCAGACCAGTTTTGACATTCTGAGGACTGAGCTCAACTACAGATCTGTTGGAGAATACAAAGGAATATGTAAGCGGAAGAGCCTTCCAGAAATCACCCTTATCTGTTGTTTCTCTCAACAAGGTCTTCAGCAAGCATTGTGCAGCAAGGAGATTGAGGTTATGTCCCTGAAGAGTGCCTGGGGTGTAGATTATTTATGCTGCCCCTTCAGACCTTATGCACACACTCCAACACACTTCCTCTCGCAGCAGAACTTTGTAATATGATTAAGCCCCGAACTGACCCCTGCAATAATAACAGCTACTGGTACTTACATGTCACTCACCGTGTGCCAGAGCTTTACGTGTTCTATTTCATTTGATCTCATAACTCTGTATTCTTATAAATAAGAAAACACGCACAGAGAGGTAACATAACTTGCACAAGGCCACACAGCTTACACGTAACAGAGCTAGGAGTGGAACCCAGGCAGTCTGGTTGTAGAATATAGGCTCTTAACTCTATTGCCTTTGTGAGTACAAAATTAACTACTATTGCTGCCGGGGGACTAATCTCCAAATCAGCTGTATTTAGCCTCTCTTCCCACAAAGTTGTCAGATCACAATAAAAGGCCTGGCCTCTTGAGAGCCTGGCAAGTGAGGGGATGACATTGCTCCGTGTGAGGGGTGCTCTCGAAAGCTGAATACCTCAGAAGTCTACCCGCTACCTTGGAAAACATTCCACCAATGTCAGGGGGAGTCAGTGGGTATCTATGCACATGCATGCAAACACTTCCACACATATGCACTGTTTAGGAGGTACAAGCAGATTCTCTACCCCTGGGTTCAAGGTGTAGGAAGGCTTTGTCACATGCAGTAATTTGGGTCCTAAGAAGAGTGGCAGCTTCCAAAGTCTTATCAGCCATCAAGGAGGCTCTGGTGGTGGTGGTGGCTTGGCCCTGAGGATTGATGCTGTCTGTGCTCTGATGGCATCATCTTTTCCCCTTTTCTGCTCTCCACCTTCACTAGACCTTAAAGGTGAGGGGAGTGGACCGCACTCCCTACCTGGGGGATGTAGCTGTCGTTGTGCATCCTGGGAAAAAAGAGATGGGAACGCCACTCGCAGACACTCCTACCCGGCCTGTTACCCGACACGGAGGCATGAGGGACCTTCATGAATCCAGCTTCAGCCTCTCTGGTAAGAGCAAGGGCCACTTGGCCTGGCACCTGCATCTCCACCACAGTGAGGGGACAGGAGGAGGGCAGAGGGACTAGGAACCCCACCCCGGCAGAGGGGTTTATGCTGCTTTCCTCCCCATCTTCTCCCTCCCTCCCCGATCCCCTGCCCGATGATGACTGCTGGGCCCCATGTTATAGACACACAAACATTGGCAGGCGGGGAAGGAGGGCTCTCCCAGTCCCTGGGCACCAGCCACTCTTAACAGGCCATGGCCCTTTGGGGCCTTTCCCCGTGGTTTCTAAGTTCAAATAGTTTCATCCCTTGAGATATCTTGAGGGCCCTGCACATAGGGATGCCCCAGAGACGATCTGAGCGCAGAAGCGTTAACTCTGTGCTACGTGGGTCTGCACCCCCATTTCCCACCCCACTCCTCAGCAGCCTTGCTGAAAGATGTGGTAATTCCCTTATACCCTTTCCTCCCTCATCTTAACCTCAGGTTTGCCACCTTCTTTTCTGCCGGGAATTGTACTGTATGTAATACAATATAGAATATATGGGGTGTATCTATGCTTAGAGACTTTATCGTCGACAGCGTGTGTCCCAGGTGCTCGGCCGTAGTTAAAGGTGGGGGTCATGGCGGCATAAACGGTGAGCCTCACTGGAGAGCAGGCAGAGACGGTAAGATGCCTTGGTCCTGCAAGCAGCTTTGCTGGAAGCCATGATCCCTACTTGAAAGGGGCAGAGGCCGGGTCTCACTGAACGGCCTTCACGACTAGCCCTGGCGCAGACCGAGCCTCCGCTCTGCAAGAGCCGTGCTGGGGCCGGAAGGTGAGAGGAGCAAGACCCTGGGGGAGGTGAGACGCAGCCACAGACTGTCCTAACATGAGAGGCCAAGAACTAAACCAGAGGAGAGCCGGGGGGCACGGCTGCCCGCTGAGCTTCCTCTGTGCCCAGCCGTGTGCTGGCCGCAGCTCAGGTGGTTCTTGACTGAGGAGCTGACCGCCTGTGGAGAGGGGTCCTCTCCACCACCCTCCCCATTGTCTCAGAGCCAATCTCATTACGGAGATAACTTCGCCCCCACCCTGAGGGCCACTGCTACTCCCACCAGCGATGGGACTGAGTGCAGGGAGTCAGAAAGGGATCTGCGGGGTGGAGTGTCAGCGGGAGCCCCGGCCTTCAGGAGGTGTAGCTCCCCACGGCTGCCTGGGTCTGCCGCTTCCTGCAGCCGCCAGCCTCGGGAGAAGCAGCAAGGCCCCCAGAGCTGCGAGCCCCCTCTGGCCCCTGGCTTCTGCTCCCACCCAAGTCTCGGGCAGAGCCAAGACTGGGCGGAACTGCTCTCAGGTTCAGCAGACATCAGGCAGCCTCTCACCTTCCCTCCGCCCCAAACCTGGTCTGTTCTAAATGGGACAGGCTGAAGGATGTCCCATCACACTCCCTGGGACCCAGACCTTCTTTTCTTTTTTCCAATTTATTTATTTATTTATTTTTGGCTACACCACAGGGCATGTGGGAATCTTGTTTCCCCGACCAGGGATCGAACCCATGTCCCCTGCAGTGGAAGCACGGAGTCTTAACCACTGCACTGCCAGAGAAGTTCCCAGGCCTTCTTTTCTAAGTCTCGGGACTTCGAGACGTGGGGGCGTTTGGGGTGCTGTTCTCTGATTTTCCAAAGCAGTGGCACACCCTTCCTTCTCGCTCTCTTGCTCACTGAGGCATATGTGCAAAGGTCCACTTGCTAACAGGCATCTCCCTGGTCCGTGTGCTTGGCAAGAGACCATACCCCCAGGGCTGGCAGCAGTGAAGGCAGCGTAGCAAGGCAGTTAATCATGGAGGCTCTGAACCAGGAAGACCTGGGTTCAAGTCCAGGCTCTACCACTTAAACGCTGTGTGACATTAGCCAAGTTAACTTACCTGAGCCTCAGTTTCCCCACCTGTAAAATGGGATGGAGTTGGATTGAGGATTAAATTAGATCCTAAGCACGGAGAACCTGGTTTTATTACCCAGGGGAGCTCACCCTCTGCTTCCTTCCTTGCAGGTTCTCAGATCGATGACCATGTTCCAAAGAGAGCCTCAGCTCGGATCCTCGCTCCCCCCGGAGGCAGGTCAAGTGGCATTTGGTAAAGGCACTGACCAGCCCCCTAAGTGAAGATGCACCACTGCCACCAGCCCACACGCCTTCCGGCCACAGCTGCAGGGGGCGGGAGAGGCCGGGCTGGGCAGCGCACCACCTGAGGGGGCCCCGGGACACGGGGAGCCCTCCCCATGTCTGACACGTGATTCACTGTGCTTCGAGCCGACCCTAACAGGCACTTTGAGATGTGTTCCTCCTGCTGCAGTCCTTTCCTGCCTTGGCCTCGGCAGGCTTCCCGGGGGCCCATGCTATGCACAGAGCCCAGTGCATAGAGCCTGGCCCCGCCCCTCCTCTCACACCCGCCTCTGGGCTGGCCTTGGGAAAGCCCGACCTTAGTGCCCTGCCCCTGGCTGACCCGCCAGCTGTCCAGAGCACTTTAGCAGATGTGTTTTAAAAGAAAAGGACTCCCTCCCCCATCCCCTTCGGCCCAGTGGTCACTTTCCCCAAGTCAGACAGGTGTTAGCATCCCAGCCATGCCCAGGACATCCGGTTTTTCCCCACTCATCTCCCGCCCCTGTTTGGTTGTGGCTGGGACACTCTGTGCCCTTTGCCAGCTGCTTCCTCTCCGCCACCCCCCAGGAGTCCCAGGCCCCGAAGGGCTGGCCGGGCGGGCACGAGGCTGGTGCCAGGCGCGTGTATATGATTTTGTTTTGCACGTTTCGTTTGCGCAGTGGTTTGGTTTGACTTGTTTGTGCATCCTGTGAAAAATGACGGTGCTTCGTGTCACTAGCATAGCATAGAAACAGGAATAGATGTGGACCTTAGGAGATGCTGCTTCGACACCAACCAGACAGCCTAGGGCACCGATGACAGGGGTGAGAGGGGGATACTGGACTCGCAGGCCCTTTTTCTCCCTTCCTGGAGTCTTCCTGCCCTTCCCCTCCCCTCCTGGTCTAGTTTCCTGCATCCTGAGAGGGTGCCCGGGATGCTGGCCCTGCAGACCTTCAGGGAGCAGGGTGGCCTTTCCCATCTCTGGCCCTGGTCACTCCCAGCACTAACGCCACACACACACACCCAGCCGCCTGTACGCTTCCGCCTACTGGACCAAGGCCCCGCCGCTCATCCGTGTGACTGGCGAGAGGCCTCATGCCTGCTAAGAGAGATGGGGATGGGACTAGATCCGGGTGCGAGGCCAGGCCAGCAGGACCTGGTTGTAGCCCACAGCGCTGCTCCGGGGCTGCAGTCTCCTGTGGTCAGCACCTCACCCTAACCTGCCTGTGGCCTCCATCTCCTCCCAGTTGGGCCCTCCCTGCCTCCAAAGCTCCAGGTGGTTTCCATGGAAACACTAGAGGCTGCCCTTGCTGAGCCTTGTTCCCCCTCGGGGAGTGACATCATGTTGCACATTTGGTCTGAGCACCCGGGCTGACACGTGGCTCCTGGTCTCTTGGGCCGGTGGTCACACCCGGCACATTTCTGTAGTGCTTTTCACGTTGTCAAAGCCCTTTCATGTATGAGCTCTCAATTGCTCCTCACGACAGCTAAGTGTGTATTATTCCCCCCATTTCACAGCTGTGGCCCAGAAAGCTTAGGCCTTCTGACTCCAGAAATGTCCAGGACTGCCCTTAAGAGCTTGGCTGGGTACCCTAGCTGTGGACAGGAGGAGTGGAGTGACATCTCTTGCAGATCCCACCTGAGAGTTTAACCAACTAAAAGACTTACTCTCCCAGTAGGCATTCTGCTTTGTTTTGCACAGGTAGATAAATTTTTCTTGTAAACAAACTGACGCGTATCACTGTTTGAGCCAGAGCCAGTTACTTGTTGGAGGCCTGCCCTGTGGTTTGAGCTGTCCCCACGTCCTCACTTAGGAGCTGAGAGGACTGAGACAGTAACCCAGGAAGCAGAGGCAACAGAGACACTCATGGAGGGTGGTGGCCATGGGGACAGTTGGTGGGGATCTGAGCCTAGGAAATTGTGTGACGCTGACCCCGTGGTACAGTGCTCATCATCTATCCCTTTCAGCCCTTGCTGGGTCATGGGCCTTGGGCAGATGCCAAAGAGCCAAGCAGTGGTGGTGGCCAGGGGGCAGAGCATCCCTGCTTGGGCTAGGAAAGCTTTACCTTCTCTGAGTGCCTCTGCCCGAGAGATGCGTGGTCCGTGGCTCTGGGAGACCACATGTTGGTGTGGTCCATCGAAGGCCTTCCACTTCATTCACCCCCGACCCTTATATAGACCCACCCTTGCCCAGGAGCTTCTAGATGAAAATCAGAAGGAGGTTCAAGGAACCAAATGAAAGGTCACCCCCCGCCACCCATTCCCTGCCCCTGTGCCGAGCTCCAGCCAGCCCCATCACCAGCCCCATCGGCTCTTGGTTGGAATGAAAAGGGTCTCTGGTTGCACTGAATGCAGCTCTCAAACTGGTCTTGTACTTGCTGAATAAATACTGTTGTTCTTGCCTTAGCTGCTCTCTAGGTTTGTGGGGTTAAGTTACCAGAAAATTGTGCTACTGTGTGTGTGTGTGCGTGTGTGCGCGTGTGTGTAGTGCTAGGAGTCCACAGTAGGTCTCGGTCAAGCCAATGCCGTGATGAGGGCTTTTCCGATACTGACCCAGAAACCACAGAACCACTCGGAAACCCAAACCGCCTCCAGCTGCCCAGGTGGCAGGCACAGCCTGGGGTCGGGATGGAGCCTCCAGCACCCAAGTGACTTCCTCACTCCTCTGTAAATGTCATGGTGCTAAGATTGTGTCAACCCCATGAGGACACGTGGTCCTGTGCTCTGGCCACCTGACTGAGGCAAAAACAAAACAGCCCGACTCGTTGTGTTCTGGTGCAGGTTTGTATTAAACTGTAGCTACTTCTCACTTGGTCTCAGTTGTGTTTCTTCAAAGAAGAGGGAGCTTGGTAGGGGGCCTCTTCTTCCACAGTGGCTGGGATGGGGCTTCAGTTGCTAAAAAAGTCAGCTTTGGGTCTTCACTTGTGTTAGGTGGCAGGTGGCAGCTCACTGGGAGGCCTGAGCAGAGACTGAAGATTAAAAATGTTAAGAGACGGGAGCCTCAGTGGCCCAACAGCTAGTAGCCAGGCCTCTCTCCTGGGGGGAACAAAACCAAGGTTTTTGGTGCCAAATATCCCAGGACAAGTTTGGGCTGAGTTCTCTGAAACAGGAATAATTAGGGGGAGACATCAGATACAAAAGGCAGGCAGGAGTGGGGATGGGACAAAAGGCAGGCAGGAGCTTTCCCCACCCACCCTTTGGTTACCATTTTGGAAACCCATAGCCCCGTCTTCACACTGGAACCCTTGGCTGTTGGAATCATGGTCTCACAAAATCCCATTTCAAAGGACTGTACAAGACCAGTGTGTCTTTGAAGGACCTGCAGGCTGCTCCCTGGCTCTCCAGAACCCCACCTTTTGCATTGGCCCACTGTGCCTTCAAACCCTTCCATCTGCATCAAGACTAATCTACCTTCTCTTAGATCTCAGCCAGAGGTTGGGGGGCTATCTGATCAAACACTTTCACACTAAAGAGTGAGTGAAATTGTTGCTACCAGTACTATGGGGTCACTTGTACTTCTTAGCCCCAAAAAACAAAACCTTAATGAGGGAATTTTAGGTAGAATGGGGAAATAGTTGGGAGCCGGAGAACCTTCTCAGTTCTCACCAAATAAGCAACCCTCCTGCAAATAAGGCAGCCCATGACCAAAAGAAATACCCAGAGCACTGCAGTTAGGACAGAGCCCTTCACTGTAATGAAATGAGCTGTGTGTATAAGTTCTACTGGGGTTTCGGAGCCAGATGGAAACACCATTATTGGGCTTGTGAAGGATGCCAAGTCCCTGGGGTGATACTGGGCCAAAGCACCTGTGTTACCCTGTTTCCCCATAGCATGCATGGGAGCACACCAGAATTTGATTAACTGCCAAAAATCCTTTGTAAGTGTTTGAATGAAAAATGGCATGGCAACTCATTTGGCAGGTCATGTGCACGGTAGCAGGTGGTTTATAGAAAAAAAAAAAATAAGATACCCGGGAAGACACTGGTTGCCTTTGTACGTATGTAGTCGTGGGAAAACAAAAGACCACAGACTCAGACTTTAAAAGTAACACTTGATCGTTTGTAAGAATCTGCATTTGTGGAAACTGAACCAGCCAGCAGCTAAGCAACCATCACCCTCTATTTCTTCACTCCAATTACAGGCTGACTCTTATATACAGGTACAACCTAACACTAAGATTTGCCTTGCAGTTGTTGCAGTGGAGGAGGATGGGCCTCATGACACCCAAGTTATAAAGAAGAAACCTCACGATACACGGGCAGCGTAGACCTTCTAGTCCTAAGTTAATAAACGGCTATTTGACCGTGTTGCTGATAACACATTTGAAAGGGCTCTTAGTACTTTTCCAGCAAAACATTCAAGGATCTAACATTTGTTGATACTTGATACCATCTTATAATGATGGCAGCTGAGTTCTTCACCTGCTTCCCTTCATATATTTACCAACCACACATGTATACCTAGAGGTAACTTGTCCGGGTTTGCCCAGACAGTCCTGGTTTAAGTCTATTGCCCTCCAGAATAATTATTATTAGCGCCCCCTTCACTTTCAAATGTGTCTTGGTTTGGACAATAAGTTTTTGGGGCATCTTAGGTACGCCTATATGTTCATGAGTTTATTAATATGCTTGTCAGGAGCCAAAAGTTTTTCCATCACTGAAAGATGGAGGGCAGGGCATGGTGAGAGGCGAGGAAAATGGGTCCTTTTTCACGGGTGAGGACTGGAGTTTCTGGTGACGAGCTCTGAATCTCCGCACAGCCCTCGGAGGCCTCGTGACGTCTCAGTGGCTGTGGATGCAGCAGTGGTAAAGGCCTGGGGGCACTTTCCTAGCTTTTCAGTTTAGCTTATAGACCTTATTATTCCATTAAAAGTTGTAAGCCTACCAAATTTTATCATTTACTTTTTTTTTTTCTTTTTTTTTTGCGGTACGCGGGCCTCTCACTGCTGTGGCCTCTCCCGTTGCGGAGCACAGGCTCCGGACGCGCAGGCTCAGCGGCCACGGCTCACGGGCCCAGCCGC